TTCTTGCTTCGCTTCACTCTTTCTTTTTTTTTTTTTCAGGGGTAGAAAGTTGTTTATGCTCTTTTGAGTCATCAAGATTCTCGTTGTAAATGCATGAAATTTACGGGCTAAATATTTGTACTGTGCCTCACTTAAGACTCTGTTTGAGTTTCGTTTTTTGTTAAAAAATTAACTTTGTAATAATAATTTTATTTAAGAATGTGTGATAGAAGAATAACGCAGACAATATTTATGTCGTTGATTGAGGGGCGACATCAATGTTAATGACAAACACTAGTAGGGGCAGATGTCTGTTTACGTCTTTGATTCCAAGGCTACCTACAATTGCAGAAATGGGAGCAAAACTTAGTGAATGTAAGTCTATTCCCGTGGTATACAGTGAGGAGACGAAACTAGACATTATCACGCATAGAATCGATTAAGAAGGTAATCAAGAATAAAGAGTTGATGGTGACCAGTGTTGCTTCGTGTGCAATTGTTGGATTTTGATATCCAATGAATCTCGAGTTATGATATAAACATCGGAATATAACTTTATAGGCATCAACCAATGGTGAATTAATTACCACCAATCAAGTCCAAAGACTCAACTCGGCCCATATATATTACTATATATTATCTTTTGAATGACTTTGAATTTTGACCCATTTAATTTTATTATCAGTCCAACTAAAACATAACCTAACCTTACATATATGTTATTTCTACCGTAGCCGTTCAGTGTATGATTTGTGTGAGAAAAAGAAGAAAACGTGGCTGTTTTTCCCTGTAAAACTAGTTACTCGTTGAGAGAGAGAAAACCAGTGGCTTCCTTGGTGTTTTTGACCTTTTTTTGTCCCTCTTTCATTGCTTTCTTCTTGTACCTTTGTGATCTACAAATTATCACCATTATCTTGTCCTTTGTTGGTAAAATTGAGAAGTAATTGAAGTGAATATATTGGTGTGGGTTGGAGTAGTTCGGATTGGTTGTTTGGTAAAGAAATGTAATGTGAAACTGAGCCCGAAAATCACTGATTTGAGTCTTTTGACGATCCTTGAAGCAAGCTTTTGCGACACAATACAACTTAGATTTCAGTACTAAGTTTACAAGTCAGACGGGGAAGTGAGTTTCTTGGCAAGGATTGCAAGCGGAGATTGCAGGCATCGAAATTTGAGAAAAAAAGCATGTTCAAAAGAGTCATTCATTTTGGACAACCCCCAGGGTCATATGGCGCCCCCCACCTGCAGCGCTTAGGCACCCCCAATAGGGGGGCGCCACATAAGCCCCTGGACAACCAGGGGGTTGTCCAAGAAGTTTAAACCTGTTCAAAATAAGGAGCATCACGGAGGTTCGTACATTCACATTGGAGGAGGTTTTAGGAGATCATCGTCATGTAGTCCAGGGGGTTGTCCAAGAAGTTTAAACCCATTCAAAATAAGGAGCATCACGGAGATTCGTACATGCACATTGGAGGAGGTTTTAGGAGATCATCGTCAAAGTACATGTTTGTTTACAGTTAATTTCATCAGGTATAAATTCTTATCAGCAATTAACATTTACACACTTGTTGACATAGTTAGCGACATGATGAACAATTAATTATAGAGCGTCAATTAACTAGCTTTATTTAATGAAACAATATAAAATATTTAATGAAATTTCAACTAGCTTTATTAAATTAATTAAAAAAATTATTTGCGTTGATTTATTAATTATTTTTCTATCGTATTTAAAAATAATCATATTTAATAATTTTATAACAATATTTATAGTGATATTAAAATTTTCAATTAGCTTTATTAAATTGTTCTAAATGATTTATTTATGTTGAATCGTTAATTATTTGTCAATCGCATTTTTGGGAAAAAAATTATATTTAAGAATTATAAACATTATAACAACATTATAATTGTAGTAGAATTTTCAACTAGCTTTATTAAATTATTCTAAAGCATTTGTTCATGTTGATTTGTTAATTATATATATCAATAATATTTGAAAAAAAAAAGTCTTATTTAATTATTTTATAAACTTTTTAACTAAAATAGCTTAATATAAATGAAAAGTAAAAAAAATAAGGAAAATACATAACTTAAATTTAATAATATAACAAATTTAAATAGAGCAGAGGGGGAAATATGGAAATGTGTATTTACTTTAGCTGATCATTAACCTCAAGACAGGTTTCTAAAATTTTTGAAAATAAATAAATAAATATTTTTGCTATATATATTACAAGCGAAGGAAAAGCTGCTTTTTTTCCTTGGTCAAAATGTTAAGGGATTTATGAATTATGATTCTGTCTTTTACAGGAAATTGACAATCATCACTGTCACCTAAACGTTAACAAATGCTAAGCAAGTAAGCATCACTGGTAATAAACATTATTCAAATCTACAAGTGACTGAATACATATGGATCCAATGCCATAATCATAGGATGCGGAGAAAAATGGAACATCATGAGTTCTTTATTCTGTTGAGACTAATACAATTAACTAACAATATAACAAAATATAGTTGAGAAGCCATACGTGAACAATTCTGTAGCTTTCTTTGAAAAAATGCGGTAGGAAATAAATTATTTTTTTCCCTATAACATAAAATCGCCAATAAATCAAACCAAGTGAAGGATGTAGAATTAAATTAATTATAGAACGGTTCAAATCGTTGATCATAAAATCAATACACTTTGTTCCAAATTATCATATTAGAAACATAAATAAAAATATTAACAAACTTAAATTTTTTGAAGAGGTGATTTAGGGTCAATTTGTGCTTTTGACAAGTCAAAAGTTGCATTTTATGCTTTTAGTCTAAAAAAAGGTTTTTGAACATATTTGGATAGGTTTTTTTTTAAAGCACTTTTTCTAGTTAGACATTTTTTTAGAAGAATGTGGTATAAGATAACTTCCTTATTGAACTCTTATACAAGAAATAGAAGTGAAAGCAAAAATCATGTCAAACGATCCTTACCATGTTTTATATAAGTTTTACTTTCCTATCGGTGTTCATTATTATTGAGTTAATTGTTCCAATGGTCACTGAACTTATATCTATGTCTTTGATTGCTCACTGAAATTTAAAATGTTGAATTTTGGTGACTAAACTTTGGAACATTTCTCATTGGCATGACTTTCGTCTCAAACATATAACGGAATTGACAACATGGCTAACGGAATGCACATGTTGTGTCCCGTCACATCGTTAAACTTTGAGATAGTCGAATTTTGATTACTAAATTTTGAAAAATGAAGTTTGAGACGAGGTGCCGCGTGTATTCTATCAACCACATCATCAATTCCGCTAGAGGTTTGAGACGAAAATTATGCCAGTAAAAAATGTACAACATTTTTCAAATTCAGTAACCAAAACTCGACATTTTAAATTTCAATGAACAAACAATGACATAGATATAAGTTCAATGACTATTTGAAAAATTAACTCATTATTATTCAACTCTATCTTTTGCACCAATTTCACCCAATTCAAACATTTTACTTTTCTTACATCAAATATAATTACAAGTTGTAGGGGTGATGTATTGTTTTCAAACAAGACATGGACCACTAAAAGAAATCAATCAATTCATGACCACCCATGGAAAAAGGAAATTTCACAAGGGGCCGTGTCTATTCATATGCAATTATCACAAAGCATAGCATAACAACATAGCATCAAATCCCTGTCATTT